AAAACTTCGAATTTCTTACTTTAAAACCCATTATAAATTATAAACTCTCGTACAAAGCTTCCGTAATTTTCATATGTTAACTTTCTTTTACTCGAACTTCGATAAGGCGAAACCTTTATAATTTGAAGATTTTTATAGCTGGTTCCTTGAAATTCGAGTTATCGAGGTTCGACTGTATTATTATAACGTTATACGATAATTGTATTAATAATTATTATTAATAATTACATTTATTTCTCACACATGATAAAAAATTGCTATATAGAATTTATATTCTTAGGACCTTTTTACGTATTTATATATGGCCGTCGCGACATTTGCAGTCAGTTCAGTGAAGTGAGACAATTGGTAGACATCTTATATCAATCATATTATAACGTTATGGCAATTGTATTAATAACTATTATTACATTTATTTCTCATCATATATGTATATTAATCATATTATAACGTTACGACAATTGTATTAATAATTATTAATAACAATTACATTTATTTTTCAACACATGATAAAAAATTACTATAGAATCTACATTCTTAGGACCGTTTTACGTATTTACATATCATATTTCATTTCTGTCTGTTCTCTTTGCTCAAATATTATTTATACTTTAAAATAGTTAATTTTATGCTATTGACACGTATCACATATTAAAAGTTACTGCGATATAAATAAATTAGAGAATGATTTTATGATATGTATATACGTCTATCCCTTTTGTATTATCTTATTACTATAACGATATATTATGACATATGATTATATGATGAATGAAAATTAAACTATCGAAGATTACATATTTAAAATAAATTATTATATTTGGCTGTGTATAAGAAGACGTTGGCTGTCTTGTGCTTGTAATGATAATTTTTTAAATTATTTTCCTCCGTCGATCATAATAATCTACAATTTTTCGAGCTAAAAATTTACGAAAGGTCGCTGATTATCTGCAGTACGCTTTGACCTGCAGATTGCAAGCGCTCCGATTACAAGGCGTATCACTACGAAGCACATATGAGGAAAAATGTAATGCGATGCTCGTATTCATTCGCACAACCGCGATTACGTAATTACAACTGACGAAATAATGCATTGCGGAAAAAAACTCTGTCAATCTACATACAATTTCATGAATCAGTAGATTGCCGTTTGTTGAGACAAAGAGAAAGAGATAGAATTCTGACTTTACATTTTCGAAATTTGACTCAAAATTATCATAAATTAATTTAATGTGGACCACTAAATTTGTTCACTGCGAACTATTTTGAGTTTCTGTATTCTTGTTCCAAGTAAGGGAATATTTAATTTAATAATATATTGATTTAATCTTTATTAATAAACATTGACTTTCTCTCTGCAGGTACGTTCACGGAATCTATCCGGAACGTCTCTGTAGTTTCTTTCCCGATTGTAGCGGAAATTGTAATTCTTTCTTTTCAAATACGTTATCTCTGTTATCAGTGGCGATTATGTAAAAAAGACTCTTTTGGCTGGAGCCAGTTGAAGACACCGTAAAAAGATATATATCTGTTATCTCCTGCGCACGTCACTTGAGCGGAGTGTAAGCAAACGAAGATAGCCTACATACGACGGTTCGGTAACATACGGGCAATTCAGAATCGCATCAATGGAGAGAAGCCAGCGGTGAAAGTGCCGCGCTGCTCTCGGTGGCGCTTATCGGTTTTTATCAAAGCGCCGCGTGCGCAGCGATGTAAAAAAAAAAAAACTGCGATATTTCGGCGGATACGTAAAAATTAAGCAAAAGAATATATAGATGTGTGTACCATTGTTTCCTGTATTTAATACTATATATAATTACAAATAATTGCGATTATAGCGTCTTTCCAAAAATGCATGCGTTTCTCACTTCTGTTACCGATTTCTGCATTTCCTCTTGCACATTACCTTGTATAGTCATCGACGCTCCGCATATTCTACGTGCGGTTTGCAGCGACCGCATATGGCAACGAAAGTTTTTGCGTAATTGCGAAATGCACCATCTCGCCGAGTCATTCCGACCGGTGCGTTATTCGGATCGCCAAGGTGAAGCTCGTTAAGAGAAGAAAGGGAGAGAGAGGGAGGGAGGGGGGAAGGGAGAGGGAAAAGGGAGAAAAAAATGAAAATGGGAAGGTTGACCGAGTATCTTACGTCTCCGTCGCGTCTCCGGCAACTTTGCCATCCTAAAGCCCTACGAAGTTCTCCGGTCCTGTTCGACGCAGGACGAATTTCCTAGGGCTACTTAACCTGCGGCACCACGTATTTCCCATGCATTTTAAGGATTTCGGACTATAGGGGCGGTGTTTTGTCGAAGTATGAGCACGTAGTTGCCGTGAAAGGATCATAGAGTGGACTTAGCTGCGGAATCCCGTGTAAAACTTGCCCGGAATAACAAAGTTCCGCGTCTCGGGGTGCACCCCATGCTCCTGCCTGTCCCCCCTCCCCCCCTCCTCCATCGCGGTCAGACTCTTTATTTTTCTCGAACGGCTCTATTATGACGTCCGACCTCGATTTTATATTCTCATTAGCGCTTCGCAGCCGTGCAACGAACTCGTCTGCCGAATGCAGAAATTTATGGAGTGGTGAAACAAGATATAAGAAATATATATATATATATATATATATATATATATACAAGACATTTCGAAACATAAGATATCCAAAGCATGATGAATAAATTTGAGCTTTTAATTTATTTGAGTATATAAACGAGTGGAATATATTGCAATATTTTATTTAATATCTTATCTCCTTCTCCATCACGTATTTATAGATGATTTGATTTGATTTGATTATATCTCATTGAATTTTATTTTAATATTAGAGTATCTGGAATTATACCTTCCTCTTTTCCAATAATCGTTTCAAATTAAATCCGTGCTCTTACTATGATAGCTGACTAACGACAGGCACACGGAATGTCGTTTAAAGGATAATTTAGATGCGAAATTGTCTGTAATAAAACTGCGTCGCGTGCGAACAATGTACCGCAGTTTTCTGGCAGGATGCGCCGCCGCGCATCGCGGTCGTTATCGCGATCTAAAATGGTCCCTCGCAGTACGCGTTTTATCTGCGTCCCGCTAAGCCCGGACTTCCGCAATTTCGAAACAACAAGCGCGCCGGGCGTTGTCGCGTACTTGACGCTCGTGCGCTCGTGGCGCTGTTAAACAAGCCCAAGAAACACACTCGCGAATATGCCGGGGCGCCCGCGCGAGCGATGAGATAAAAAATTAATACCTATACAGAACTGTGCGATAATATATAACGATATCTGCTGCGTCAGCTCTAACGTTCTTCTAACGGGATATTTTTTTTTCGTCCGAAGAAACAACATTATTGGAGCGCTTCGTGCAGCGAATGCGGTGCACGCTGCAACGAACGTACGCGTTTGGGTTGTCTCGAACGCGAATTAATAAACGCATCGCCGCCGTGTCGTTAGCCTCGTTAAAAGCCGAGCTCAAAGTTACATAACACATACGCGCCGTGCTTCGCATCCGCGCATTTCGACAACGTGTGCACGCACGAGCGAATGCGGGCGCTCGCGTGTGTATAAGGCGCGCGCGCGACGTCGGATGCTGCACGCGAATCTTTAAATGACGCCCTGCGCGCGGTGTGCGCGCCCTCGTAATAATACGTCCCGCGGCTGCGGCGCGATTTAAGCTTCATTACCGGTGCACGAGCTCTCCTCGTCTCGCGTCGACGGAAAAAGACACGACGTTTCCGCTCACGTGTTACCGCGCCATGCACTTTGTGCGCGCGTGCATATTCGCGCCGCGTCGGAAACGAGACACCTGTCTTTGTTTGTTCTGCGAAAAGCAGAGCGTTAAAAAGAAATCGACGCTGATGCATCTCCATAAATTTTAATCTTTCTTATTTGTAAACGTGAAGTAAAAGGAGAAGTTAATTATAATTTTTGCTTTTCAATTTAATCAAGAAGCGAATTAAATGCTAAATAAGAAATGGAAATTGAACGGATCTTTTTTTTCTGTAAAAGAAGAATTATAGTTTGATAAATTAAATTTAAAAATAAATTGAAAATTTATTATAATTTAGTAGAAATTAGACAACTTTAATGAAAAACGATTTCTCATTTATTTCACTAATTAAATTGTCGCTCGCTCACGAATGTGAGTATTCGAATGGAACGGCGGAAGAATTTATTCACGATGTAAATAAATAAAGATGCTCGTTAATTGATCGTCGCCTCCTTGCCATTCGTACATAAGAAACGCCCCGTAGGGCCTCACCACCCGGTATACGGTATATTATTCATATCTATGCTGTAACGGCAGCGCGCTTGCATAACCGGGCGGGGTTGTACGTACCCCAGGATCGTCAGGTATTCGCCCATAACGATACGTTATTCCGGTTGGCTCCTGCGGCTTATATCCGGCTACGGGTACGCCGGTTCTCCATTTTCATCCCGCACTCGAGCGACGTCATTGACCCGCTCGTACTCGAATCCTGGGCAGTTTGCCGGTCGCGTGGTTCTTACGGAATCACGACGCGCCGCTGCCGGTAGAATGGCCCCGACGATCCTGAATTTATATCGTGTGTTTAGGTGAGAATTGGTTCTTTATGAGTAACACGTGAGGATACTTGGTGATATACACGCTCGATGGCCTTTCACACGTACGTGCCGCTGCTGCTGGCGCGCGCGCGCGCGCGGCCACATGTGGTTATCCGGGTGGCAGGTACTCGAGCACCCGATGAGATAGTGACTTATGCATTTGTCATAAGTGGCAAAAAAATTGTAACGAATGCGGAGGATATCTATGAGAAACCGCTTGAAATATAAGAAAACCGGGTTTCGAGTTTTACGTTTCAGTAAAAAAATTTAGAAGCTTGCGCGTATATTCTCTGTATAGGGACGGTACATTAATTTGAGGGATCATTATTGAATAATTATTGTATACTTACTATATCGATAGAAACAATAATTATTAGTAATATTATTTTGTTGTAGAATTTCATAATTTACAATATCGATTTGCTTTTTCAGGACGACGACTTGATCTTCGATCCGGAGGGCAAACAAACCGCCGCTCAAGCTCCATTGATCGAGACGCATCAAGACGATTCTTTTTTTCACAGGGTAAAGAGAGAGCTTTTGAATTTATTGAGCCCGCTATCCACGGACATAATCACAACAACGCAAGCGCCGCAAGGTATCAATTCTCTCTTAATTAAATAGATTCAATTAAAAGAAACTATATCATTACCCTGTAAATTTGGACTATTATAGAACCATTGAAAACACTTACATTATTTTTTTTTTTTAAGTTGTGTCATTATCCAATTTTTCAAATGTTCATTTCTTATACTTGATAGAGCAAAAAGAAGATGGAGATCAAAATCAAGATATTGATAAATCCGTCATCTTGAACGATGAGAATAAAGGAAATCGTACTCTTGATCAGCCTGAAACGCCAAGTGAAACGGGTATCGGTGGCATCGAAAGATTGACTCTCGAGAAGAACGAGGACAATGACGAAGCAGACGATGAGGTATAAAACATCATTTCAAAAGCATTTTTTTATCTTTTTACTTTTTATCTGTCGGTCATATTTAATTAAATTGCATGAATATCTTTCCTATATCATAATATATATCATATATTTAAATGGCGTTCGAAGACAAAATAATTAAAATGACAAATCTACAGAAAGATTGTTACAAGGAGATAATAAATTATTTAAACATTTGCGGTCTTCAATCTTTTAATCAGTGTTATGACATTTATGGGCTTAACCAGGATTTTGTTTAAAGGCTAGGGGCCAAATTAGAGTTGAGACTTTTGAACACGAGGAAGGGCGGGAAGAGGGTAGTCGAGTGGTATGGCCTATTAGACTTGTTTTGCTTTATATTATTATTTTTAATTAATTACTGGTAAATCACAAATTCCTACGTAGTGAATTTACTAATTTCCTTTATTTTTTTTCTTAAAATTATAAACTGATTCTTCGAACAGGTTAAACTTAAATTTATAAGTTACTAGTCGTCTTCTCAAAAAATCTTTGTATACTTAACTTTTATCTTCAATTCTTTTTTCTTTTTAAAAATTAATTTTTTGTAAATAATTATTTTAATTCTTCTTTTAAGATTTGGAAGGGCACACCTCCTTTGTTACATTCATGCATTCATCTATTACATGAAAATGTTATTATTGTTTACAGCACGAAAATGAGATTAACAACGCCGCGGAAAGTCAAAGAATACCAATAACGTACAATTCTGATGACGAAGATTTGGCTGGTTCAGGAGAGATCGAAGGCAGCGCAGGCGAAATAGATTATCATCCAAACGTAAACCAAAATCGCAACACTGATGGCAAAGCACGTAAGTCTTTCTTCATAAAGCCGTGATTCCATTAATTAAAATAAAGAATTGAAGAATAGTAGGATAGAATTTAATTCATTATTTGCTTCTTTGCCTTTTTCCGAGAGAGAAATTTATTAAATTTTTATTAATTTCAGCTGTTTGTGGAATAGCGGGCTAAAAGTATAATAGTTTCTTAAACATTGTATGATAAAGAATAAGAAAAATAATAAAAATTTATTTATTTACTATATATAATAAACTTCTTATTAAATAAATTCCAGAAATATATTTCCAAAAATATTTCGATATTCTTATAACATCAGTGCAGAAAATTGATTTTATATTAAAATGTACTACTTATTCTGTCTAAATGTCAAAAATATTTCGATCCGTGAAATATGTAAATTAACAATATATATGTAAATTAATATTAATTAAACTATTATATCGCGATATTAATTATTTGATATAGAGTATATTATTTATTTAAATTGTGAAAAATTTTTAAAGGTGAAAATATGCTATACTTTTACAATGAGAATGTTTTTATGTGAAAATGATGAAAAATTAAGCTATATTACTTTAATGTATTTTTACTTTTCCTATAACAAGAAGATTATTCTCTTTAAAACATATTTTTAAAAAAATCTTGAATAACAATAAATTATTTATTTTGTTTTTTACCGTCAGGCTTTCAAACATATTATTAGTAATATTAGAAAGCATTGATTAATAGTTTCATAAAATAGATAAATAAATATAAAGCATAATATACAAGACATAAATAAAAATGACATTTGAAACAGAATACTCTTTCTAGCAGAAGTATTATTTATTGATGTATTTTTTAAGGAATCAATTATTTATTACTAACAAACTGTTTCTCTTACAGGATTCTATCGAATAACATTGACAGTTGGCGAGCCCTATAGGCGAGAGTATGCTGATAGAAACAGTCTTGAGTACCGAGAATTGAGCAGCAATCTCACACACGCCGTCGAGAATTTGTACAATCGTTACTTTCAAGGACACAATCATTTCGCCAACGTCGTCAAAATATCGTAAGTATATCATCCATTTCGATATTCTCCGTGTCGCGTCTCTATCGCATCTAATTTAATAATAATTTAAATTTCGCTTTCAGGCCAACGACCGACGCTTTTACGTCGCAAGTTACCCTAGACATTGGTTCGACAATCACGGACGAGCTCGAGGTGCGTGCCGTCCTAGAGGAACAGCTGCAGTTTCATTCCTTGGGCAGCATCCAAGTAGGTCCGGAGGGATTCACGTTCAGGATATTCCAAGGTATTTCCATCTTAGGCGGCTACCGCCTAACGACATGGAAATGATCGATTTCACGTTGGAGCTTTCGAAACTAAACTTCGTAATTCGTTCAGCTTTCCATGATGCAGCCACGATGCTTGCGAAAAGTCCGAATACAGGAAACATGGAGAGCCGGTGAATATCGAACGGTCGACTCTGCTCAACGAACGGGATTGATAGCTGTGCTCAGAGAAAAAAAACTTATACACAACAATCGAGAAGACAATAGCATAAGACTTAGCATCGAAAACTGAAATCGATCATTTCGGTGGAACGCACGATTTCGGCGTGTTTAGACTGTTAGAACGTTGATCTGTACGAGATCTGCATGAGGAATGCAATCTTCGTTTCTTACTGCTTTTAAGCGCAAGTTTCACTCAGAATTTTCACAATCTCCAATTACTTCATAGAAAACTCCATTTATATATTTTTCGTTCTTTCAAGTTTTTATTAAGTTCATCGTTACTACTTTAATTTATGAACACGGAAAAAACGATTTTGATGAAGGTAATATTTTGCTAAATACAGATCTGAAAATAATTCTTGTTTAATCATCAAAATAATTTGTTGGAAAGTTAAAAATTATAAGCATTGCTGTACAACGTGTTGATATTCTAGCAATCATTGTGACTTTCCAACAAAATTATTTCGATTATCGAACAAAAATTATTTTCAGATCTGGATCCAGCAAAATTGTTCTTTCCGTGAATATATTTAATTCCAATTTCCTCTTCGATTAAGTTTTCGTTCTCATCAGTTGCTCTTTATTTTTTTCAAACTTCCTACCCCTTTCAAAACGAACCGACTGGTGCCACCGATTCGCTTATTCCACCTTTCAACGCAATGAATGCAACACAAACACCACACGCGACATTCGAGCGCAGCCGGAGAGAAGGACACGCAGCCGGAATGCGATCAGATGGCCGAATTAAGGTGCAGAAACGGCGAATGCGTGCCTCTAGAATCCCGCTGCGACGGCGTATTGCAGTGCAACGACGGTTCCGACGAGGACAACTGCCCGCCGCTGAACAGGACACGCGACGGTAAGTACGCGGGACACCGCACTAGGGCGATCCTCTCCCTGCTGAGGGTAGAAAACCTGTACATAACACTAGATCGCTGTTGATAGCGCTTATCTCTACAACTCACACCTTTATCCTTCTTTTCTGACTAACGAAGATTACAATGTGGCCTATGTACATACAGATATATACGGTACGTTGTAACATAGATGTAAGCGTAACTTCGTCAAAAATATCGGTACACGGAAAAAATTGCTGTGGATGTTACAATAATATTCTCTATGTTTGAAAAAAAAAATGCATGTGAATTTAAGTTATATTGATGTTACATGGCATTCATCTGTTGAGATATGCTCATCAGTACGGTTGTCACAACCGTAGTGCTTAGGATAAATAATATTCGGTTAGAATATCTTCATATATGTGGTTGCCTCAACCGAAGCATTATTGTTATCTCTCTAGTATGGTCTGTACAACAAATAGTATGATTGAGATATATATATATATATATGATATAGTTGTACGTCACAACATTGAGGCTGAGAGTTCAGTTAACTATATAAATGACTTCCAAAGTATTTTAGTTCCTATAACTCTTCTAAATTGATGGGCGAAAATTATCACAATTATTAGGTTGTGGCAACAGCAATTTTTTTTCCGTGTATGATTTATTTATTATTGTAATTCTTCAGCTTCACTAATTTACAATTTAATACGAATTATCGTGTTTATGTATATCTTGGAATATCTCTCATAGATTTTTCATGGAGATCAAGCCGGTGTGGCGAGCTCTACTATAGATTTTCTGTCTATCATCTTTATTTCTATCTTCATTAACATCCATTTTACATTAACCGCGATCTCCCGTTTTTTAACCATATTTTCAACCTCGCTTAAATAACAGAATACAGTTAATATGAAGTTATTTTAGAATATAATTTATGCGAGACTCTCTTTCTCTCTCTCTCTCTCTCTCTCTTCCTCTCTCTCTCTCTACAGTAATAACTTGCCTATAAAAAATAAATACTTGTACACAGAGAATAAAAATGTAGAATCTACGATTAAAATTTATTTTGACAAGAATATTACACAAAAGTTATTAATATAATATTCTTGAAAAATAAATGTTTCTTTTCTTCTCTTCTCGCATAACTTGTAAAGTATTTGAGTGAGCCTGGCAAAACTAAAGCACAGGTTGAAAAATCTGGTATCACTCTGTCGTCTGACGATTCGCCTAATTCGCATTCCTCATTAACAAGCGTGTAAAAAATTCGCGTATTACAATCGTCAAGACTGACACCACGCTGATAAACGAAACGACAGATTTTGAGTACACCACCGTGACACCGCTACATTACCCGGTGGAGACGACCCGCAGATCCCAGCCTGAGGTAAAGCCGGAGGTATCGGACGTCGACGACAGGGAAACCGAGGAGTCCACGCTGAGGTCGAACAAGTGCCGCGCCGACGACACGGTGCGTTGCCACGACGGCAGTCGTTACATCTGCTCGGTGCAGCAGTGCGACGGTATCCCGGACTGCGATGACGGTGGTGACGAGGATGATTGCCCGCACCCAGGTATAACAGGTTGAGCCGATTGATCCTCGCCGAGGATATCGCGACTAAAGTTGGTGATCTATAGAAGAACCGCGGACTCGTCGTTTTGGCGGATACCGGGAACAATGTGACCGGAAAAATGGTCTTAAAGTTATAATTAAAGGATTTTATTATATTTCAATAAAATTATATGGCATTCGATAACTCGTTAAAATCGGAAGCGGTTCTTCTAATTAAATATGTATCTAACTCTCTTTGCATTCTGAATGTATTGTATGTATATGTACATAAACTAGTATGGATGTATAAGCTTCTTTTTGTAATGTGATATTCTTTTATATATATACAATCTTACGTGTGTACATTATTATGCATATATCATGAGATATGTTTAGAAAGTTTCAATTACATGTTTTATCCCCGTCCTACAAAATTGTAAATATGTTGTTAAAATTCGTAGACTTTTGTCGCATCGATGCATGTAATGTGCTAACGAGAATAAGATTCTCGTACATTTTTCTAATGCTTTCTATGTTAAAAAATTCTTGTGTTTTTCATCAATATCACGTACGAACGTATTTTTCAAATATGAAAGCATATTATAGCGATAATTGTAAAGAAATTAATGCAATTAACAATTTACGTTTTACAGGCTGCAGCGCTGGCGAATTCCCGTGCGACGTGAACAGATGCATACTGGAATCTCAACGGTGCAACTTTATAGAGGATTGCCAAGATGGTAGCGACGAATATGATTGCAATTATCCAGGTGGGTATCTCTTTGTAATTTATATCGATATTTAAAAATGAATCGCAGGAATAACTTTTATTTATTTAAGTAAAACGCATTCTTCTTTGATCTCGTTAGAAAACTGCGAACGTAAAACTGCAATTTGATCTATTAATATTCTAAAAACTGCGATTAAATCTGTTTCCATCTATTTAGCTTCACTTATCTAGCTCTCCTATAAAATTAAAAATCTTGCTCTCATAGAATTATCAGATATTATCATATGATATTGCACATGTTGATTTTCGAATATAATATTATTTAAACTTTGGGACGATATACGTATTTAAAAAATACGACAGTAAGTACGACAGACGATCAAATCGATCGTCTTGAACTTTGCGAAATATCGGTTTTACCGACCGCACGATAACGGATGGTGCATATCACCTACTCTTGAACACCCTGTATCTTACCTACGACCGTTAGTTTATCAGTCTGGATGAGGAGTTGAACGTAGACGGTATAGACCAGTTACCTGTTCTACCGACCCGAGGGGATCGATAGGGGCTGTCATCCCTCGGTATCCTCTTCCACCCCTGCAGTTGGAACTTCGCTTATCGAGATCGACGGTTTATCGGCGACGGCGTCCCGACGGCCGCGCAACGCCGCCGCGACATTAATTCAAATCGGTCTGCCCCACGTCCGACCGTGGGCGTTGGTGCAAATTTCCGGCGACGTGTCTCCTCCGCGAGCGGGCGAAGCGAATCCCTAAGCAGCAGACGGAAGCTGCGGTTTTTCCAGTAGAAAAATAAGGTCAGACGGGGGGAGGCTGGCGCGCACCCCCGGTACGTACCTACTGAATATTCAAAGCTCGAGGGCTTTTTCTCCTGTCCCGTGCCGCCGTTCCGCGCGTCCCCTCGGCCTTTTTTTCCTCTCCCCCTCCCCCCCCCCCCGCTAGCTTCCTCCGCCTTCGAGTGGAGGACGATCGTGGTCAACAACGTGGAAGCGCCGGATACCGGGCCGGTGTTGTAAAGCCCACCCGATTGCGGCTACACGTACGGCGCTTTGTTGCGCGAGAGAGCCAGCTTAATTAGACAGCTACGCGCGTTCGGCCGGGAGGGGTAAATTAGCTCAGTGGTATCGGCTTGTTGAATTATATTCTCGCGCCTTCTCCTCGAAAAGCACGAAGAAACATCGAGTAATCGTGGTTCATGTGTTACTTGACTAATTACGCTGTAACTTATACGTTGTATCTTACAACACACCGCGCTATAACTGCAGTCTTCTTTTTTTTTTTGTAAAATTGATGTAGAAACATTTTTTAATCATAAAGCGTTGTATCTTACAACACACCACGCTATAACTGTCTTCTTTTTTTTTGTAAAATTGATGTAGAAACATTTTTTAATCATAAAGCGAACAGATATATTCGACAGCATGTAGAAATAATTTTATTCCATGCATTGAAAAATATATGTTCCAATACATTATAATCGCGACTTTTCATAACAATTATATTTCGCGTAATAGCGAAAAAATTCGGGAAACCGGGCTAATTATTTCCGTGATTTATACATACAATGCGCATAACGAATCGGCGGCACACATTTGCGCGTATATAACGATAAACCATAGCGTTCTATATTGAAACTCGTATTTTTCGTCGCATTATCGTGATTTCACAATTATCCCCCCATTGAAAATGAACAATTCACAATCACGACTTGAAGCGCCGGTCTCGGTGTGAAGCTACAGTCGATGTTCCGTGTTGTCGACAAATAGCTCTGCCTCTATCGCAGCCGCCGGTTGCTGTGCGATCGAGATTCTTGCTCCCTTGGTTAATTCAAATGGAAGCATCGCGCGTCCACCTGGTCGCGATTGCGGTTTTCATCACGTCATTTTATTACGGCCATCGCGAGTAATCTCGGAATCGTTAAAATCCGCTGTACGCAACCGCGTGGAGTTATTACTTCGCCGTTGTTACTTCCGTCCTCGTAACTCGCGCGCCGGACGAGAGGTAAAAAGAAAAAAAAGAAGGAAGGAGCACCACACAGGAACAAATTGAGGAACGGCTTCCCGCCGCTATTCCGTTAATCGTTCACCGGCGGCGAACTGGGGCAGCGCGCGCTCGCGGCGCGATGGCTCGCGATCGAAGGATATAATCCTGCGAGGGCAGATCGTAAATCAAGCCGGCCGTGCACGCTCGCTCTTTCTCTCTCTCTCTCTCTTTCTCCCCCTCTCTCTCTCCGTACATCCGCGCTCTCATCATTTAAACGTCTCATGGTTAGCGGATATCTTCCGAGTCTTCCGGCAGGCCTTTTTTTTATCCCTGCGAGAAACGACGACAGGGGCTTGCGCCCGCGAGTAGGACGAGAGGGACTGGCACGAGGGGCACGGGTGGAAGAAGGGGGACATCGCCGAAGCACCGCTTCACATAAATATCCGCAGACACGCAGGTTGCGGGCCCGGCAAGAAGAGCGCTTTTACTTGCTCCCGGTAATCGCGATGTGCATGCTTAATCAATATTCAAGTATTCAGTCGTGAGGCACGGGGAAAGGGGAGGGGGAAGGATCCGGTAGCTCTCTTTCTCTTTCTTTCTCTTCCCTCGTTGATTCACCCCGCCTCTCTCTTTCCATCTCATTGCGCGCTCTCTCTTCTCTCTCGAGTAGGAATGCGCATAACTAGTTTCGTGTCCTCGGGTACCCTCCCTCGCGCGAGCGATATGCCCCCCTCGGACAATTATGAGTACCGCTCGGTCGGAGGATTGGAGGGATGAGGCAACGATGGGCGCAGGGGGGTACAACGGGCGAACGAGTACCCCTGGAGGAGGGCAGAGCCGAGAGAGGGAAGGGAGATAACTTGCACGCTAGGCACCGCCACGACAAACGTCAACCCCCGTCGTCGTCGAACATTATTCAGGTGCGTCCTTAGCGCCGCGTATATAGACTGGTCGACTTAAACGTCCGCAACGTTACGTCCTTGAGCGGCGGAGAACGTCGGTGAGTGCGGAAAGGCCAGAGATACGGCGAAATTTCAGCGTAAGCTTTTTACTAATAAATCGAGACCGCCTTGTTTATACGATCCGCGTTCGATAAATATACTTTTTCTGTTTTTTTTTTTTTTTTTTTTTTTTCCTTTGGATTGAAACGTCCGAATTATTTATCTTCTTTGGCTCAAGTATTTCTGGAGAACGAATTATAGCTAAGACACATTTTATCTAATCATTAATGAATGGCGTTGTCAAGTGTGTCTTAATGTTTCAGAACATATATAAGTAAAGTCTTCTTTCTACGTCGCTATTTTATATTAATAGTATTTTTGCATAATAAACTTTATAGTATTTTGGAATATATGCAATAGTATAAAACTTCAAATGTCCCGATAATAGATTTCAAAATGTGAAATACTTTCGCGCTACGGAATTAATCTAAACTAGTGTGCGCCGACTATCGTCCGCGATATTTCTTGGCGAAGACATTCACGATTGCTTTTATAACGTAGCGCAATGCATTCGTTGTCGGAAGTATAACGATGGAGGTCGGTAGTTTCAGGAGAGGCTTCCTCGTGCCTTTTACGACGGGGACTTCTGTGTAGCCACGTCACGTCAAACGAGGCCAAATATTGTTATTGCAAACTTATACATGCTAATAGTCGAGCGATACTTCTGCCGTAAATACCGAGCGAGTTTTAGCTGCAGAACTTATAAACCGATCGTACCACCGTCGCTCACAGCTATAAATTCGGCTGATAAATTAAGTTAAGTAAATTCTCTGTCTCCGCATGCACGTCAAAATCAAACCAGATCAAATTGTGATCTAAAAAAAAAGGTAGCGAATTATTAAACGAGATTTAGATAATTCATACTATTATTCGTGCTTTAAATATAAAGCGAAACGACGGCTTGAACGGAGCAGTGAGGTAAACTTGGGGCTTGGGGCTGGCGCAGCGCGGTGATAGACGATGGTAATAGTACGTAATGGTAGGCTGTTCCTTCGGCGTTTGATGCTTGTCCGATTACAAGCCGGCTGGTGTGTCGTACGACCATTAGGCTTTACGCTTACTCTCTCTTTTGCATGTCATTACATCTTAACGCCTCCGCTGCGAGCGTAAACACACGAGCGCGTCCGCGAACGTCCGGCCTGCGAGAATTTATCGTTCCTCGTTCTGTCCGAAAAACACATCCGCAAAAAGAAGTCCACTCGGCTAATGCGCGTCGACCGTATTCGGATATATTGCTCGCTATCACTTCTCACTCTTGCACACGTCCTCGTCGAGCTATCTTCTCCAGCTTGTAACAGGGAAACCAAAGATTTAGGGCAGTCCGACATTTTGCAAAACATCCGGCAAATTTCTTCCTACGTGATTTCACTTGCAAATATAATATCTTCTCTTGTTTTTTTAGTGTGTAATTATCGATTAATTTTTTTATATAGCGTATATAATTCCAATTATGTTTTCCTTTCAACTTATTTGGCGATTAACTTATAAATATAGTACTTCAAATATTTTTTTTGTCATTACGTTTTGAGCAACTTGAAGAAAAATATGTCAATTACCTTTGTCGGTTAATACACGGAAAGAACAATTTTGCTGGATCCAGATTTGAAAATAATTTTTGTTCAATAATCAAAATAATTTTATGCGAAAGTCAAAATGATTACTATAGAATATCAAAATGTTTTATAGCAATGCTTATCAGTTTTAACATTCCAACAAATTATTTTGATGATTCAACAAAAATTATTTTCAAATCTACAATGTGTTCAGCAAAATTTTTAGACCTTTCAACAAAATCGATCTTTTTGTGTATGATTCTAAAAATATTGAAGATTTTACTACAATTTACATAAAATAGGATAAATGCGGGTAATAGGTGCACATTGATAAATTATGTTAACGTGCGGTCAGCGTTTATCGATCCAGCTACTTAGGGTAAATAATGATATCTATTATCGGATCATTAGACGTTATTATGTTATTCTATTTCAACGACATTGCCAACATGAATAAAGAAAATTCTGTTCACCGTATGAAGT